AATTGAGATTATTTTTCCCTCTCCTCTATATGCCTAATCCAGATTCAAATAGCCATCTGCCTTCCTGGACATTTTCACAGGTGGACATTTACCAGCTTCCTCAAACTCAATTACCCCCCACCAAACTATCTCCTGGTTCTCCAACTTTGTAAATGCACTATTATCAACAGACTCAGCAACCAAATCTAGTAATGTTACCCTTGAAGACTCCTCTCCAAAATCAATTGGGCTCTTCAGTGATACATTCATACATAGAGGAATATAAATTCCTGGCATCTCTTACGTTTTCTACTTACTTTCCAATTAACTCCACACAATAGGTTTCAGTCACACTACGTTAACAGCTGAACGGTCCCTCAAATACTTTCTTTCACATAAAATCTTTGTGCCATTTCCTTTTTCTGTAACTCCTACCCCCAAGCATTTCTTTATTCTTGAGTACCCCAAGAGTACATCTACTTCACTGGCACAACAAAGTAGTTACTCCTATGTTGGCAGTTTTTTGAGAAGGGTAACTAAATCTCACTGGAGAAGGTTTGAAAACTGCACTTCCTTCCCTTGTTCAATTTCCTTAGGGTTCTACTAACCAAATTCCTAGTTGTGGGGGCCATAAAATGCACCACTAACATCTGGTGAAGACAGCATAATTGGCTCCAAGCACCTTCTCACCATCCACCTTGAGGCCATATTTCCTAAGGGCTGCTGCTGCTGCTAGACAAATGAGACTGGCAGTACAGATACAACCCCCATTTCTGTCTAACATGTGACTTTTCCTGCAATTTTGGCTTCAGGGCCACCATTAAACTAAGCAAACCACAGAACTGCAGTGTGCTACTTAATACACCTTTCTCCTTCAAAGGTCTCTCACCACTCCCTACCATACACTTTTAGCATGCTGATCATTTAGTCAAGAGAACCCAAATACAATTAAAACTGTTGAAAGCGGCTGAGTTTAGCAAACTCCCAGTTTCCTGTTGGTATTTTCAGTGGAATGTCACAATTTATTAATAAAAGTAGTAGTTGCTACTGCATTAAACATTTAAAATCATCACGCTGCGAACTGATGCCTTGGTTCAAACTTGTATTCAGCACACTCTGAGATTTAAAATACTCTGTGCAGCCCTGCTTAGTTTCCTTTACATCATGCCAAAATATCTCAATCCTGCATTTTACATTAAAACATGGAGCCAAGGAAAGCTATACTATCCAGGCAAACCTAACATCCCACCCCAACCCCAGCCCTAGATTACTTGTTGAGGCATGTAGTATTTTGGGGATATTCTCAACTTACACATATTCCCAGTGTTATACACTGGAACACTTTGTCAAGTCACAAATTCCAAGGCTTTTTCCTCCATGTCTGTTCAAACGAGCTGCCAAATACCACCAATATATCACCATTCAAATTCCTTCTAAATACCATTTTAAAGACCCAAGTTTCCCAACCAATCTATGTTGAACAAGTGTATGCACTACAAGGTACTTCAAAGGTCAGTAAGTTTCATGGTATATATCTGTACTGGCTAAGAATTCTGACTTCTGCCCTTTCTGAAATACACTGGGTGTCTCCACTTATCCAAAAACTTTTCAGAGGCTAGGTTCAAGTGCTTTATCACTCTAAACCTTCCAAGATACTCCTTTCCACTGTTCCCAACTATAGCTTACTTGTAACCTTCCCCTCACCATTTAAAGCCTTATATTAAGATACATCCCATCATCATCAAAACTCTCCTGTTGTCTCAATCTCTGTAATTCTCTAGGCTTCCTTGTTCTCTGAAAATCTCGGATAACCACCACCATTTAAGCACTTAGCAAATGAATTTGCAGCAAAGAAAATTTTAAGCCATTTAACAAAAATACAAGAGAACAAATCCACACTTTTATTTTCTTTTCAGTAAGTTTAAATCCTTGAGGGGTACAGCATCTGGGGGGGGAAAGAACACAATGTCATTAGGTGCATGTTATATACAAACTGTTACCAAGTACCCCAACATGAATAAACCTTCCATTGTCTCATTACCCATCTCTGAAAAATATCCAATGACTTACATCCTAGGGAGAGAACTAAATTTTTATAGCCTTCAGTTTCTTGGTGAATGTCTAGGTCAGTGTCCCAGAACCAGTACTGGGAACACTGAAAGTCCATTTAATGTTGCTTCCTCTAATGACAGTTAAAAAAAAAAAAAACTCCTTTGATGAGAAATCTAAACTGCTAAGCAGGGTTCAAAAATACCCCATGACCTCACCTAAAGGATATAGTCATACTAAAAAGGGATTCTAACTGAAGAAAACAGGAGCTATTTTAGAAAAATCACAGAATTAAAAAACTTGGGTCCAAGTCCTAGCAGCTAAAAACACAAACATCAGTTTTCTTCTATAAAATACTAATACCAATTCAAACAAGACTGTGATGATGAAGAGATGGGAAACACTCAGAATTATGCCAGGAAAATGCTGAATTTTTATTTTCTAGCAATTACTTCAGTACTCAATAAATAGTCTTCAGTGGCCAAAGCCAAAGCCAAAGCCAAACCCCTTGAGCTTTGATTCAACAAGGTATCATACTGCTAATAACTGTACTTACCACACGGATCCTGTGTCCAATGGCCTTAGCAGGAAGATTGCTTCGGAATTTGGCACGAACCATGCCACTGTTTCCATGAGCACGAGTTACCTTTCCCCAGATTACTCTGGTTTTGTTCGGTTTTCCACCAGGAGTTACTGTGTTGCTGATTTTAAAGGATTGAAAAAGGCATGAGAACCCAGACAACCATTATAGTGTGATACAAAATCAAGGTGATTCTTAGGGACAAGAAATGTGAGGATGTTGAGTGTAGGGAGAGGAATTTGTTTGCAATTTTAAATAGCCAGGGAAGGCTAATATTGGAAAAACGATTGGAAGTTACAGGAACAGTTTGTGTTAAAAACCTGAGGTTGTGTCCCTGGCCTGTGGAAAGACTTGTAAGATACCATGAGATGATGCAGCCAGTAAAGTAGAAGCAGGGAGCCCTGAATGCAGTCTTAGAAGCTCCTTAATGACTTTGCTTTTACTAAATGAGATGGGGAACAGTTGGTGTTTGAGATGATTTGACTTCCAATTTTAAAGAATCACTTTGGTTGCAAGAGGAGGGTGGGGTGGGGTGGAAGCATGCTCCTAAAGATAAAAACAATTTAAATAATCACAGTCCACCCGTTTCTTCCACTTCCCTCCCATTCCCCATGCCTCTACCCCAGAGATTTTAATTGATCTGGAATGGGCCTAAGAACCCAAGAATCAATGTTTTTGAGATGTAACATCTTTAAGCATGTATATAAAACATAATTTTAAGACATCAACAAAATGAATTAAAGATCATGAAAAATGCTCTATAAAACTTTAAGAGGATCATGAGTTGACTCCTTCCCTGAAACAATTCACAGCTCTAATTTTTCTAAGTGCAGAAGACACCTACATCTACTACCCATTAAGTTCCTTAAAATCCCAAAGTAGAAGCCACAACAGTACCACTTTACCAACTTCAAACGAGACAAATTAAGTAAAAACTCAAAATGCATAATACTAATAAACTTACTTCTTTGCTTTGTACACATAAGCACATCTCTTGCCCAGATAGAATTCAGTTTCATCTCGAGCATAAACACCTTCAATTTTAAGAAGAGCTGTGTGTTCCCTCTGGTTCCGGAGACCCCTCTTATAGCCAGCAAAAATGGCCTTGGACCACAGCCTAAAACAAAATGTACTGTTAACCATAAGCTGTTAAAAAGATCTCATTTAACTTCAACAAACCACAGGTATGGTTTCACTAGTAATGGCCCCTACACAAGTTACCTATAGGAAACATCTAATTTTCCCCCCACCAATTTTAAGCTCACATTTAGGTTCATGCCTAATAAACTACAAATACAAAGCAATGATATTTAAAATGCATACCTTCCAGACATATTTATCGTTTTGGAAGTCCTGTTCCCAGCAGGCCTTTAAAACAAACAAAAATAATCAGTTTAAAACCTTGCAAAGTGCATTTCCCACGTAGTCTCCTCCGGAGAAGCACCCCAAATTCAGAGACTGCCTGATAGCTAAGCAAACTCCAAAATGAAGACAAAAACGAAAAGTGGCAAGGCTCCACACTAAAATCACTGATCGAACCAAATATGCTACATGGATGAGGGAGAATGAGAGTAGGGAAGTATGTATGTGTGGGTGGGGAGGGCTATGTTGGAGCTCTGTATTTTCTGCTCAATTCTGCTGTAAATCTGAGACAGTTCTAAAAAATTAAGTCTATCAAAAACAAAAGACTCCACACCAAAAGAAGTAACTCCTAGAAATCCCAAAGGAAGCCTTAAAAATAATTCATGCCATCCATGATCAGCCAAAAAAGAAAGGAGTCAGAAGCACACAGAAAATAAAAGTTTTAAGCACTGAACGGAAAAGAAAAGCTAAGGAAAGACTGGGAACAAGCCAAACCAGGTTTGGAGGAGGAGTAAATGGACAATGAACCTTGCCTAAAAGAGCCACTGATTTAGAAGGGGAACTGCTGCCAGACAAAATGCATCTACTTCCCTCCCCTGGGGACCGGGAACCAACTTCTATTACAGCAGCACCCGATCTGGGCGGTCAGGGGACCAGCACCATCAGTCCCGTATCGCCTCCATCCTGTCCTCCCTGTTGCTGAAGTCCCTAGAAATCATTAGCTGGTAGAGCCTCGGAGCCGCACCAGTGCCTCGCCGAGGAACAGAACCGAATCCAACCCACTTATTTACCCCCAAAGTTCGGCAGCTGGAGCCCCACTCACCTCCGCAGTCTCCAAGATGGCTGAAAGAGAAAGGCGAGGCCCTGCCGCGCGGCCTTGTGGGTAAACAGCTCCTCGTCCAGCCCCCATTTAGGCATCTTCCGCGATCGCCAAAAAAAAAAAAGCCTGAGACATCGTCTTCTGACTGAAATAAGCAACGTTCAAGAACACTTGTACCATTCTTTCCCTAAGTTATTTTATCTTCGTAAGCTGCAACATGTAATATTTTGGGACAGAGGGAGGCAAATTTGTAGACAGCTAAAGGAAAAGAAAAGGTCCTTGAAGTTGTGCGTTGCCACAGAAACACTTAAGCTTGGTTCCCGCGCCGTCGCGTGCTGCAGGTGGAAAAGTGAAGCCGGACTGGAGGACGTCCCCCGCTTCGGGTACCCGAGATTTGATTCGCCAACAAGGGAGTATCTTTACTCTTTACCACACAGGAGTAGAGTGAACAGAGACGCTCGGATCCTAGCCAGGAAGAGAAAGGCCGCGATTACGAAGGCAGGAGGAGGGAACTTTTCCTTCTCTTTACCTCCCCTCTTCCCCCGCCCCGCACTCCTTTATTTCAAGAAATGACTTAAGTTCTTACCTCCATTCTTCATTTGATTCCGAGGGTGAAAAGCACTGCCCTGAAAAGGCCTGTTGCCTTTTAAGGAGAACTCATTCAGCTGTCAAACTCTCGGAGCGCGCTGACCAGCGTGCCCACCTGTAATAGGTGTTCAGTAAATCTTTGTAGACTAGAATGGGATAGATTAGTGGACGTCAGAGATTTACATTTCCTAATTAATGCACATTTATTTGGGTTGCCCTATTATATTCATTCATTTTTTTCCCCAACAAATAATTTGTTGAATGAGTACCATGTACCGAGCATAGTTCTTGTCTCGGAGGACGCCGCAGTAAACAAAACAACAAATCTCTGTCCTCATGGCGCTTACATCCTAGTAAGGAGAGTGAGACAGTGAGTAAAATATACGGCACATTAGGTGATGTGAGGAAAAATGTTCTCTGTGGAGATTGTCCCCAGTTGGGGCAAATGGCAGATACCTAACAAAATGCCACTGATTTAACTTGGGACCTGATGGATCAGTGGGACCCTGCAAGGTGAAAAGGTGAGGGGTAGAGTGGTTCAAGTTGAAGGAATAGCATAAGCAAAGACCCTGAGTTGAAAGGGAGCATGATTCCATAGAAGAAAAAAGCCCACTGAAGCTGCAGTTATGAGAGCAATAAAAAGGCAGTGCCAGATGGATCTGGAGAGGAACAGAGGAGCCCAGATCATGCAGGCCCTACGGTCCAAGTTAAGAATTTTAGTTTTTGCCCTAAGGAAACCACTGAAGGGTTCTAAGGAGAGACATGATGAGATTTTCAATTTTAAAAGATGAGTCCTTCATTTAATAAAGATCACTTTTATTTGGAGGCTATTAGTCCAAGCAAGGAACAACAGCTCGATCCAGCATGGTGTTGGGGGATATGGAAATAGAAGGTAGAATCCACAGGACTTGGCAATCGTTTGAACTGGGGGAATGCTGATGTCAGGATAAGGGAGGAAGCAGAAATGACTCCTGAGTTTCTGGTATTGAGGAATGAGAAGCCAGAAAGCTCTGGATTCTGCATAAGCATAGCCCTGTCTTACCTATCTGACACACATTTACCTATGCCCCAAGCCTAAAAATGGAAAAATAAACAACACAGCAGAAGAACAAAATCTTAACCCCACACCACTTCCTCCTATGACTGCTTTTGTACCAGAAAATTTGGCTAGTTTGGAGTATCTTTTTTTCAATTTACCTAAAGTTTAATTTTTGCATACAAGATGTTTGTTGAATGAGACAAACTTGTACTACCCTCCTCAGGATCACTTTATTGTGGACAAAAATCACACTGGAAACTTACCACTCACTGTTCATTCAATCTAGAACAAAATTCTCCATAGGGTGTTCTCATTGTAAAGCTTATGTAAGCAGAAGTGACTTTGGTTTACTGGGGAGGGGTAACATCTTGATAGCAGTATTATGTTGATTTTCAGGATAAATACAGTTTTTCTAAGTGCAATCTCAGTTGTTTTTCTATATCTGGGTACAAGAAATTCTGTTATCTGGCAGATCGGGGGATGGAGCAACCTACATAATTATTTTTGTAATTGGAATAACAGAAAAGTAAATCTGTTTTATAAAGATTACCAATTAATACTCAGAATGCATTTAAAAAGCCAGGTTAGACATTAATTTACCTTAAGAAGAAGCTTGAAGTTTGCATTTATCTGCCAGTAATTGAGCTGACTGCTTAACAAACCCGTGCCGCATGAGGGCAATGGTTCTTCCGTCTCTGGGATTGCTCTGCTAAGCAAAAAGAGGGGACAAACCATAGCTCTTGCAATTCTTTCATTTTCTCTTTTTTTAGAAAAAAAATTTTTTTGGTGGGGGGAGGTAATTAGGTTTATTTATCTATCTTAATGGAGGTACTGGGGATTGGACCCAGGACCTCATGCATGCTAGGCAAGTGCTCTACCACTGAGCTATACTCTCCCCCCACTTTCGTCTTCTCTTAATGAAACATTATAGAATGTCATTCAACTCTCCCTTGAACTAACTCAATGTTTTCTTCCCACTTTAGGTGATTGCATTATTGTGAAATTATAAATGTACCATGGAGATTTAAAAAAACTAAAGAAGAATGGAAGAGTATGTTCCAAATTCTAATTTATTTTATATATATGTATATATATGATGCCTTATGTTAAATTTCTGTGTATTATTTACCTGTGGCTGTGTAACTTAGTGACAAATTATAAGCATTTATCATTTTACAGTTTTGTGGGTCAGGAATTTGGGAGCAGATTAATTGGATGGTTCTGTTTTGGAGTCTCTCATAAGTTGAAGCTGGTCAGGGCTGCAATCATCTGAAGACTTCACTGGGGCTAGAGGATCCACTTCCATGATGGCTCATTTACAGAACTGGCAAACTGATGCTGACTGTTGACGAGCGGCCTTAGTTCCTCACCCTCATGAACCTCTTCACAGGGCTTCTTAAGTATCCTTGTGACAGGCAGCTGGCTTCCCACAGAGTGAGAGATACGAGGGAGTAATGGAGAAGCTTTAGTGTATCAAAATCACCTAGCCTTAGAAACCACAGTATCGTTTTGGTTACATAGGTTAGTCCTATTCAATGTGTGTAAGACTACAAAAGGGTATGAATACAAGAAGGTGAGAATCATGTGGGCCACCTTGGAGAGTGGCTACTACATTCCATTTTTCACTAATCATGAAAAAATTTTCTTTAGTATCTAAAGATGTTGCTAGAAAAAAGTTTATTTTGGCTCAAGCTCAAGTGGGTTAAGCATGGCCAAATATCCTAGGCTACATATCTTTATTAAACTAGTAAGTTGCTTGCCTTTGGGAGGTCAGAATGTCCCTGGGAAGTATTTAGCAGAAACATACACAAACAAGCAAACTACTTTTGTTCATTATCCTGGTTGTATTATATGACAACATGGACTTCTCAGGAGCCAATGCACATGCTGTTTGTGCTTTTGAGTTTAAGTAATTTTTAAACATTTGGTAGCTGACTTATTTTTTTTCTTTATTCTTTCTTTAGAGGCCAACTGGAAGCCTCAAATCTTCCTCCAAAAGTTTGGCAATCTGAGGTGACATTGTCAGTAACAGGTGAACCGCCTACTGCTATAGAAGAACATGAAGAGACAGCCAGAGAAACAGACATAGAAATCATCCCAGAAATCACAAAGCCACTCTCCATCCTAGATGTGCTAAGGATCTCTTCAGTTCTGGAGGACACCATAGATCAGCTCTCTATTCTAAACTATATCATTACAGTTCAGTATGAAAAGAGACAAAGCATCAACATGGTATATACACTAGCCGTCATTTAATTTTTGCTTTCTTTCCTTTTTATTTCTCCATCATTTTCAGTACCTATGCCATTACACTTAACTTGGGAAATGGCACCTTCATATCAGATGAAGGGCTACAGTAATTATCTGAGATATGTACTCTCAGTTAATGGAGTGAACTATAGCTCAAGGTATGTTACCAGTCAGAATATCTTTTTCTTCCACTACATTGGCATTATTCAAAAAGGCCTATAGATAAATCAGTATAAATACTACATATATACTGAGGAGATCAGAAGAGTAATTGAGTTGTCTCACTTTGTATTTCTCAGCTGCTAAAAGCTAATTGAACAGTAGGGGAAGGAAATTCAACTGGACCCTCTCAATGTTGCTTTCATCTAAAATGACTTTGTTGTTGCTAAATATGTTGTAATCTACCTTTTTGATTATCCAGCCACATCATCATGTCAGCCATGACATTTTCAATGATGTTATGGACTCCTCAGAGCACCACTGAGCTATTAAAAACTCAACTTGGTGATTAGCAAAATCTTTATAAATCCTTAACCTCTTACAAATTTTAATAACTTAAGTTGTAGATATAAAATAGAAAATTTATAAATACAAATACATATTTATTAAGTTTAACAAAATTATACAGTTTGTACAAAACATATTCTTATTTCTGATTCTATGATAAATGAAAATTGCTAAATAAATGAGAGCATAAATTGCTTTTCATGTCTAACAAAAGAAATCCATATTTACTGTGAACAGAAATTAAATTTGCCTTTAATTGCCCTTTACAATTTAAAATTATTATTATTACTAGTACCGTTTGTATAACCTGGGTTCATAAAGCTTTTATTAAAGTTTTAAAAGCTTATACAAAATTTTAATAGAAAACTGTATTTGGATTTAGGAGACCTTTATGGTTTTAGTTGTGTGCTGTGAGCAATTCATTTCACTTTCATGGTCTTAGTTTTCTCATTTGTAAGTTGTGATGGAGTTTTAACTGAATGATCTATATGGTCCCTTCCAATGCTAATGTTCTATGAGTTCAGAGGTAGTTTTAAAATATTAATGGGTATTATAAGAATCTTACAACAAATTAATTTCCTCATTAACTTATGAAAAGCAAAGATATTGGAAACCCAGGAACTAAGCCTTCCAATGCATTTGAAATGAGTATAATTCTTAAATTAAGCTAGTTAACAAATAGTACAGAAGACATTAGTGTTCATTCCTATTGTCATCTTCAGTAAGATTCAAAAATAAAAAGGGAAGATACTCAGTTAACAAGGTAAAATTTTATCAATGATATTTACTGTCAGGCTTAAAAAAGGGTAACTTGCCATTATAGAAACTCAACAGAGAATGAAAAACCCAAATTTATAAACAGCATTCAGCAGTGGTCACCACTCCTTAACTAAAAGAACAAAACTTTTGCAGTTTTATTCTGGTTTATGGTAGTGATCTTCACCCACAAAAATTTCTGAGTTAACAGATGCCCTGCTTATGATTTTATAGAAGCATATAAATAGTAAAGGCTTGCACTCTTATTTTGATTAATAGCAGCTTAGAAGCCCCTTTCTCAATGTTAGTTCTATAACTTTTAAAAATTTTGAATCTCTTAAAATAATTTTTTATTTTTTACATTATAGTACTATAGTTGTTCTAACTCATGAATTTTTACAATACCATTGCCCTATAGGGCATAGTATATATGTGGATGTTTTCTTGCTCCAAAAACTTCACATAACAACATAACACATAACCACCACCTTGGGATCACAGTTTAGTTAGCATTATCCCTCTTTAACAGCCTTTTTCTTTTTTCTGAAAAGCACTTGATAACGTTTAATGAATCTCCCACCATGTGGCTTCGCCCACACCCTTAATTGGCTCAGCTCTCCTGCTGAAGAATCTGGCCTTACATGATAATTGGCTGTCCTGGGCGCTTTACCTTCCCTAGAACTTTGTAGGATGTCGATCGCACCACGTCAAAGATAGGAGCTGCTCCAGTCTGGTTCTTGGCTGCAGTCACCCGTGTCTGCTCCCTGACCAAGGTCCACAGTTTGTCAAGGTTGACAGTTGGGCAGAAGCTCTGTTTCTTTAAGGGTTGATGCTTCATACTAATTTCCCCAAAGTGTCCGAGGTGATGCTGATGTTTGTGCTGTGGTGATGCAGGCCACTGGCACACCTCCCAGGTGCTTCCGGTGTTCGTGATGCGGAGGGGTGGCTGTGGCTCACGTGCCCCTAAGTTTCCGTGTCTTCCTTAGTCTGGGTGGCATGTTGGTGACGGAGACGACAGAGACACAGCCATTTTTATAGTTAAACATAGTTCCAAATAGATCTTCATTTAGTAGAATCATGGGATGGAATGATGAAAAATAATCTTATGTACCAAGTTCTGCCAGAAGTGGGAGTAATTGATCCAAAGTTTGGAAGAATTCCCTTGTAGAGTATACTGTTGTTCTTATCTTTTCCCTTAGGGTTTAATACCCTACCATACAAGGGAGTGAATGGACTAGAATATTTAGCTAGTTCCTTTAAGTTCTCTTCTAAAATTTTGTATTTATTTCTAGTAATAGAAATCGGGCTGTTAGACACATTTGCTTCCTTTTCCAGATGCCCAAGCACAAAGATAGAGGAACAATGCTCAGGGCAGTCAGGACAACCAACCTTTTCAGGCCTTACATTTCTCATTCCTTCCCTAGACAACATCTAAAGTAATAACCAACCACATACTTAAACTTAAGTTTCAGTTTAATTGTTGAAATTCTATGGCTTCTGTTCTCTTTGTAGTCGATCATACCAATTTTAATTTAAAGAAGTATTTTAAAATTTAGTTCTTATTTAAGGCAGCATTTTGTTTTGTACTTGCCTTACGAATGTTTTCCCCAGATCTGAATCTTTGCTTACTGTTGATATAAGGAAAAATACTATTAGGTCTGTGTGTATTAACTTTTATGGATAGTTTTTTAACATGTCTGGGCTAATTGAAGTTTGGCTAAGGAAGACCTAGGCTTTATACAGCAATATGCATATAAACTTTTCTTCTGTGCATAGGATCGGCACAAGAATTTCAGAAATTATATAAAATGAAGAACTTACATAGTTTTGTGTGCTGTTCTAAATGCTTTATTTATTTATTTAATCCTCATAATAAATACATGAGGGCGAGTGCTATCCTTACCCCTATCTTACCAATGGGAAAATGAAGGCATAGAAATGTTAGTTGCCTAAAGTCAATGTGGCTTCGTAACAGCTAGGGCCAGGATTTAAACAAGGAAGTCTGGCTTCAGGGTCTATTTGCATAGCATAATCACTGTGTTATATGGCTTCCCATTGGCTCAAGATTTTAGCCACAGATTAAATAGGAATCATAAATTAAAAAGACATATCCTGTTCCTATGATAATGCTTACTCCTTACTATTCAAGTTTGGGTCTGAAAAAATAAATTATTTTGGCTTTTCCCCACATGAACTTCAAAATCTACACCACCCCACTAAATATACTATCATCTCCTACTCTTTGGTATGATTCTCCTTTCATTCTTTATATAAGGGGCTCTCGTATCTGCAGGTTCCACATCTGTAGATTCAAACAACTGTGGATTGAAAATATTCCAAAAAAAAATTCTAGAAAGTTCCAAAAGGCAAAACTTGAATTTGCTGTATGCTTGGAGCTATTTACATAGTATTTACATTGTATTAGGTAGTATAAGTAATCTAGAGAAGTATAGGAGAGGATGTGTATGTTATATGCAAATACTATGCCATTTTATATAAGCGACTTGGGCGTCTGTGGATTTTGGTCTCCTTGAGGGTTAGGGGGAATTCTGGAACCAATCCCCCACAGATACCAAGGAATGACTATATTTCAAATTCATGTGTTCAATGAACATTTGAATCTTTACTATACTATAGACATTTTCCAATGGGATTATAAAGATGGTCACATTCATTTACTATCCAGTTTTGTTGCAGAAAGAATTTAAGGTGAACCAAGATCTCTAAGAGAAAGTCCCTTCCTTCATAGAGTTTATAATCTAATGGTGATATTTTTACAAATAATTACAGATGGTAAATATCTGCTAATAGAGATGTTTCACAGAGATTTTTACCTTTGGTCATAGTCTTACAGTTTACCAGGTTGGGGAATGATGGAGGGGATGTTGTCTAAAGGCAGGAAGGCACAAAAAAGCAGGGCATGTAGTTTGATATGGCTGAAGAAAAGGGTACTTTTGTGGTAGTAATATTACAAGAGGGAGAAGATTGGGTTCAAAATGTAGGCAGAGGCCCTCATTTTCTTTACTTTTTAAAACTGTCTTAACGTAAAACATCATTTATTGTTTTTAGAAGAATAACAAAGAAATGCATTTAGAAGTAAAAAACTTAGAAAAACTTCCAGTTGTCTCAAAAACCTCAAAAGCACCCAATCCATTCTTACATAAAGAAGAACTCAAGTTGCCAGAAATCAGACAAGGAGGCCAATTTAACAAAGTGCAAGATCTTATCTTCAGAAGACCTACAAGGCAGACCATAATGAGTACAGAGACACTCAAGAAAATTCAAATTGATAGGTAAGGAAGGAGAGCATATTTGGAAATGTGATAATGTATCTCTAGATGGATGAAGAGTGTATGCAAGAGTGGCTGACTGCTCTCTTCTCTCATAGATTGGTCATTGTATCCAAGTGACTGCTGATAATAGGATTAGCCAAAGATTGCCCAGGGCAAGAGTGGTATAATTGAAAGTATGGTGGCTACATGATTGGGCAAGTTATTGAGACTTTGTTTCCTTTTAATGGAGGTACTGGGGATTAAACCCAGTACATCTTTCGTGCTAAGCATGCCCTCTACCACTGAGCTATACCCAGCACCCCTCTTTGTTTCCAATTTTTAAAAATGAAAATAATAGTAACTTTGCAACATTAGTGTGAGGATTAGTGAGACGTCTTCAGCCAAGTGCCTGGCACAAATTGGTAGCTATTATGATGCTTTCTCCATTAATAAGGGATAGATACCACCAGAGTAGCCAAATTTTAAACTATGTTTTAATCCTAAGGGCTTCTTAAAGGCAATCTTAATTTGCATTGTCTCATTATTCAGTTTTATGTTGTCACCTGGCTTGCTGACAAAGAAGTCTGTTAAGTTTAAAAGAGGATATACCCTTATGGTAAGAATTTTTGGTAAATAAGAGTTTATAGCAATTATCCAGAGCCACTAGCCAGATCCAGCCTGTAGTCTATTTTTGAAAATAAAAGTTTTATTGAATACAGCATTGCCCATTTGTTTACATATCGTCTATGACTGCTTTCATGCTGCAACAGTAGACTCGAGTAGTTGCAACAGAGTTTATGATCTGCAAAACCAAAAACATATACTATTTGTCTGCTTACTTCTGCTTTAGACCCTCACCAGAAGGGCAATATCTCTTGTTAAAATCAATCTGACCCAGATTTGCATACATGATAGAACAGGGTCCTGTTTATAAACTGTCCAATCTAGTTAATGTCCTTTCATTCCCAGTATGTTGGATCATATTTTATCAATTGATCTCTTGACTTCATTGTACTTTTTTCTTAATATAGTTATTGAATCTTTTTGTGTGAACCATTGGAAATAAATTATTATGTAAAATAGTAAAGTGTAATTCTTGCTGATTCCATATCAAAACATTTAGGTAGCAGTTTTAAAAATTCTCTCTACCTAGGAGAATACATAAAGAGTAATGGACTAGGGGTCAGGAAACCTGGATTAAATAGTTCTAGCTCTTTCTCAAACTGGTTTTGTGACCTTGGGCAAGTCATTTAACCTCCCCGAGCCTGGGTTTACTCATCTCTAAAATGTGTTGTATTAGCTCTTTAAAAAAAAAATTAAGTGATTTAACTTTTTCAATATTATGAAATATTTCAAAAATGAAGAAAAATATAAAGAATAAAATAATGAATATTTATGTATGTAGCCACCAAATCTCAACATTTTACCATGATTGCTTTAGAGCTTATTTTCCCCAAATAAAATACTTCAGATATAATTGAAGCCTCTGATCCTTGTCCCCTCACTCTTCCCACAAAGATTTTTTTTGAATTTGTTGTTTATTATTCTCTTGCATGCTGTAATACTTTTATTAGCTATATACTGTTTTATTTAAACAGTACATATAGTTTTACATGTTCTTAAATGTTGTACCCATAGTTTCATACTGTATATTCCAGGTCTGTTAGTCCTTGGTATGTAAACTTTTTTCAGGTTAGGAATTTCTCTTTATTTCTAGTTTGCTAAGAGTTTTTGTTGTTTGTTTTTAAATGATGTGATGATCATATGGCTTTTTTTTTTAAGCCTTTTGTCTTTATTAATTTGATGAATTCCATTAACAGATTTTCTAATACTAAACTTATTTTTGCATCAAGAATAATTCCAACTTAGTTATGATGTTCCTTCTGGGTCTTAACTTGTATGACTTCTGTAGCCCTTTGTGAATAAAGGGAAATATATGTTATTGATTCATCCTTTTTGTTTCTCCTTATAGGCAATTTTTCAGTGATGTAATCACTGAGACCATGCAGGAGTTGCAAAATTCAGGCACTTTCATCAATCTTCTGAAAGCTTTGGGCAAAGAGAGGGAAAACAAAATGCATTTCTATGATATCACTGCCAGGTCAGAGTAATTTTAGGTTTATTTGCTTTGTTGTATTTTAAGTGCTGTAAAACTCTCACTGGAAGTCTTTAATTTCTAAAGCAAATCAAGTTTGTGTTTTCTAGGGAAGATAACTAGAAGTCAGAAATTTGGGTTCTATTCCTAGTTCTGCGGGAACAGTAACTCAATTTCTGGGCTTCAGTTGTTTGTGTCTACAATATATAAAGTACAATATATGTACTACAATTGGGTAGCGTATAATCTATAGTTGTGTTTTGGCAATGACAATCTCAAGATTCTAGTTAAATTCATGTTTTCTAAAAATTCCTGAGTAGCAATATTTCTCTAGCTGCAATTTAGTGATAAGGTTTTTTTTGTTGTTGTTGTTGCTATAGACTGAATATTTGTGCCCCCTCCCTCCACAACCTTAATTTTTAAAAATCCTAACCCCCAATGTGACAGTATTAGGAGGTGGGACCTTTGGAAGGTCTTGAAGGTGGAGCTCTTGCCAATGGGATTAGTGCCCTTATAAAAGAGAACCAGGAAAGCCCCCGCTCCCCTTCTGTCATGTAAAGAGACAATGAAAATGGCCATTTGTGAACCAAGAAGCAAATCCTTACCAGACACTGTATCTGCTAGCACCTGGATCTTCACAGCCTCCAGAAGTGTGAGAAATCAGTTTCTTTGTTTATAAGCCACCCAATCTATGATATTTTTGTAATAGCAGGCCAAGCCAAGACAGTTCTCATTTTGTTTTTTCTTGTAGTCTGTTACTTCATTGTAAACCTAAATAATGGATTGCTGGAGATAAGCAGAATTCTGTTTCTGAGAGCAAACAGAAACAACATTAAGTAGTTAAGTTCCCATTCAGACAGTACTGAGTTTGAATGCTGCTCTGCCATTTACTATTTGTGCGGCCATGGCAAATGTGATAGTCTGTCTTCTGAGAGATAGATGCCAAGATGAGATTATCAAGGCAAAGATTTTATCAGGGAAACACCTATGTGAGAGAAAATGGGGAGGGAGCCTTTGGACTCACTGCTGGACTGACCTTAAGTGAAGGAGAGGGAAGGTTGGGTGGAAGAGACTGCCCTGCAGTCTAAGGATGGTTTGGCAAGGTCATCAGGGAGCCCTTGAGCCGAAGTCAATCACCAGGGAAGTCCTGGATCTCCTGGGAAGGGACTGCCTTATCACTGTTGCACTCAAAAACTGGCTGGGAGCTGTGAGTGGGAAGTGTGGCCTCAGAGCATACACAGTGAAGAAGTTCAGAGCCTAGAGCTGGGACTCTTGTTTGCTTACATTCCCTGTAGTTGGAGGCCTATGAGGCACGTTCTCATGTCCTCCACAGCAAGTTACTGCCGCTCTCCATGCACATTTTCCTCATTTGTAAAATACGGGTAATGGTGGAGACTGCTTCATGAAGTTATTGAGAGGTGTTCAGAATAGCAAGGATTCCTCTTTTGCCCATTCCTTTTTCTCTTTCTCTTAGCTTTTTCAGCAGCAGCTATTTTAGATACAACACCAATAAGCCAGAAAATCCTCCTCCAATTTGCTAAAACAAATCAGTCTTTTTTAAAGTTACAGAAAGTGTGCTCCACGGACCAGCACCATTAGCATCACCTGGGAACTTGTTAGAGATGCAGATTCCAGGGTCCGTCCCAGACTGACTGGATCAGGATCTCTGGCGTAGAACCCAGGAATCATTTTTTAACCTTGAGGACATTCTTGTGCACACTGAATTTTGAGAAGCACTGATCTAAACACCCATTATTCTTATTCTTATTCTAGGGAGGAAAGTGGAAGGAAAAAGATAAAAGCTCTTCAAAAACAGCTACTTAATGTCAAAAAAGAACAGCAAGTTGAAGTACAGGTAAGAATTATCTGGGCAACACCAAAAGTTACTGAGCTAAAACAAAACAACTAAATACAAGTCATTCTTTTCCAGCAAAAAAAAAAAAAAAAAAAGTTATGTATAAGAAATTGTTGTTTATCCTGGGGTGCCTTTACTATTGAAAATATAAGGAGAGTAACTAGATATTTGGCCTGGAATATACAAATATGTCCAGAATAGAACTCTGGGAGACTCCAACCCTCTGGAGTTCTTAGTCTGTTCTTATCCCTCCCAACCCATCCAGCCACATCGCCCACCCCTTCCCTTCAGGAGACCTTGTCTCAGGCAGCCTCCCACGTGCCGAGATCCCAGATGGGAGGCTGTAGTCCTAGGTAGGACGTTAAGCACATTACAAACCTCCTTATACGGGATGGTTAGGGTTAATAATGTCATTTGTATTGTATTTCAAGTACAGAGTGGATTTACTGAGTTTTTATGGTCTTTACAACCTAACTTTATATCCAATTTACTTCTATAAGAAAGTGCATCCTAAATTTTAAGCGACTTGCAAAATAATGTTTGGGCTACAATGTAAGCAGTTAGAAATTAGTACTATTAGGATAACTAACACTATTAGCAGTTTAGAAAGTTACGAAGTATAGCCTAATAACAGCTTTTCACTGCCTAGTTATTTGGACAAATGTATGCTTCAGATCAGGGAATCTTTATTACTCCCTACATAGAAGGTAGAGGAATATTTGAAAAATATATTTGGAAAATATTGTCTGAAAAAGCCTTTCTTCTGAAACATTATCTCTAGGTCTTCTGAACAAATCGCTTAACATCTTTTCTTATTTTCTATTATCATTTTTAAAGTACCTTTGGTATTGATTTTACCTTATTATCCCTATTAACTTTGTTTATAGCTTACATTTTTTGAAAACCATTTCTGTGCCATACCCCCCCCAAAGCTTCATAAAAACTGGTGTGCATTTAGGTTTTCTCTCTAATGAATAGACTTTTCCAGAAGTTTCTTAGCTTTTTTCTCCTCAAAAGCTCTACCATTACTTAAAAATTTCTCTTGCATGCCTTGACTGTTAAAATAGAACATACTTAGGGGGGAGGGTATAGCTCAAGCAGTAGAGTGCATTCTTAGCATGCACAATGTCCTAGGTTCAATCCCTAGTACCTCCTCTAAAAATAAATAAATGAATAAACCTAATTACCTCTCCCCTCAAAAACAACAAACAAACAGAAAAGAAGATACTTATATTAATTTCCTTTTAATGCACCAAACTAAATAGTATCAGAAGAAACCTCAGCTTTGGCACTCTGCCAGTTAACACCCCCATGCTACCATGACAGCTACTTTTCTCTTTCTTTAAAGATTTATTGACAATAAATTTTCCAGACAACAGGTAACACTTTCTTGTGAAACTTACCTTCCTGGATTACAGTCTCAGCTGTTACATGCAGGCACAGTAAAACAAAAGTAGACTATCACTCAGATATTTTGATCATTAGCAAAGAAATAGATAAACCAAGACTAGAAGATCTAAGACAAATCTTGAACAAAAAAACAGCTATCAAGATGAAATCAAGTTAAATCCCCAGAGTTACTAAAAAACCAGTCGTCAAATCAAGGTTGGAAAACAAGAAGACAGGAAGTACATGGATACTAGAGACCTGTGGGTCAGAAAATGATGCCAGGAATTAGGATGCCAGGCAGGTTTGTGTGTGTGAAAGTGTCTGTGGAGATCACTGGAATATGAGGGAGCAATTTCCTTACGAGCTTCTTACTAAGTCCCCAGGCAACACGACACAGTCACAAAGTAAAAATATCAGGTTGCTATTAGAATTCCAAATATCAGCATACAAAGTCAGATAACAGTAGAGTAGTATTTTCATGAAACTAATGGGGGGAAAAAGAAAGAAAACCAAGGTCAATATATAAAAATTAATTTATCTTTTCTATACATCAGCAGTAGACTTAGAAAAAGAAATTGAATACACACACACACACACACACACACATACATATACATATATATTTAAGCTCAATTGTCATCAGGGAAATGCAAATTGAAACCACAAGGAGACACAATTATCTTTCCATTAGGTTAACTACTTTTGGTATATTAATATTATATTTGGTACTAATTTGTAATACCAAATGGTGACAATGTGGTATAATGAGAACTCTAATCCACTAATACTGAGCATTTATATTGGTACTACCACTCTGGAAAAAGTCTAACATTGTCAAAGCATATTAGTTACTAGGCATACCCAATGCCCCAGCAGCTGTACTCAATCGAATCTGTGTGCATGTACAAAAGTGATCAAAAAAGCATTATCTGTGATAGCTATAAATGGAAAAAACCAAAAGGGTTATCATACATTATGATATTCAGTAGAACACTAAAGTTAAAAATCAATGAGCCATAGCTACCACATCATAAGTTTAATGTAGAGCAAAATAATCCAGGCACAAAAAAACACATACTGCATGATTCCATTCTTAGAAAGTTCAAAAAACTAAACTGTAATATTTAAGGATAAATGTTTAGATTATAAAACTATATAGAAAATTACTATAAAATTAAGGATAGTAGATAGTTTTGGGGAAGAGTGAGAGTAGTGATTGAGAAAGGATGTAAGAAGGAGCTCATGTAAATACTGTTTCTTATCCTGGGAGGTTGTTCTGGGGGGTTTAGTTTATGGTAACTGAGATATACATTTATTTTTGTGCACCTCTTTTTTCTCACACATACACAGAGTTTAAAAAAAATGACATGTATGTTACGTGTTAGAGCAAAGTACAGGGGGTTATGGATGCATAGAAGAAGGAGCTTTAACTTAGTCAAGGAAGGACTGCTGTAGAAACTGTATTTCAGCTGAAACTTAGAAGATATCTACAAGTTATCCAGGTGAAGAGGAGGAGAAGAATGTTTTAGGCAGAAGGAACAGAAAAACATGTTTGAAGATTTTATTAAGTCTTCTTAATGAATTGACTCTTATTATAAAATATTCCTATGTGTGGTAGTACTCTTTGCCTTAAAGTATACTTTCTCTGATACACCACTCTTTTGTTCTTATGCTACGGTTTGCATGGTATATATGGAAAACCGAAGGTACTACATCATGTTCATGTTTATAAGGTTATACAACACTGGTCTGCAATTACACTGTGCCAAGTTGAAGGCATATAGTTTTAATGCTGTTGCTGTGGGCCTCTGATTACTCAGATTCCTGCCTGTACTACTGTTCTGTACAAATGTATGGCCTTCTTTGGTGACAGTGTAGAAACAGAGGAGGATATAAAATGCTTACAGTCTGTGATGGTAAAATCATGATCAAGTCATAGTAATAAGTGAACTGAAGCAGCATTCTGTTTTTCCATCTTCTGAGCAGGCAACAAAGATCCAGCCTAGAAACAGTGGGTTATAGGCCCGAGATCTTCAGTTGTATGAACTCCTTTTAAGATTCTCACTAAGAAAAGATCTGCCTTCACCATCACCCACCATTATAACCCTGGTTGTCAGTGGTGTCTGGAACTTTCTTCATGATCAAAGTCTGTGGACTGGTGCAGCATATTTGTGGGTTTTCATAGCAGACCAAACTTTACTTCCAAATCCCCAAACTGCCTTCAGAGCTAGACTTTTCGACTTGTTATTTGAATTCAGAGATGATTCAAATGATTTAGCATGATTTAGTAATGGAAAGAAGTAGTTAGCCAATTAGAGTTAATAAGGCTCTGATGGCTGCCACAATACTGTGAGCCAAAGGCTTTTAATGGTAGTGTCTGTTTTGTTTGTTTGTTTGTTTGTTTGTTTGTTTTGTGGGGGGAGGTAATTAGTTTTACTTATTTATTTTTTTTTTTTGGAGGAGGTACTGGGGGTTGAACCCGGGACCTCATGCATGCTTAAGCATGTGCTCTACCACTTGAGCTATAACCTTCCCCTTTGTAGTGTCTGTTTTCATAATTGAACACAAAGTACGGAAGAGAATACTGGTCCCTGGAATTATTGGAAACTAGAGAACTTGGAACTTACCTTATACCTCAGGCTGCCTCTTTGGTTGGATGGAAAAAGGAAAATGGAAATGTGGTCTATTAGAGTGACAAAAGTCAGAAAATAATACAGTTCTGTATTAAATTAACATTTATATTTGTCTGCCTGTCTGTGACTAAGAATACTGGATGATTCTGTAACAGTCCATGAATAAACTCTAAGCTAAACAGTGTATCCCATTCTAAAATGCAGAGGAAGCATAATCAAATCCAAACTTCTAAAGTTCCAGGCTCGAATTCCACCCACTGTTTTCATTGCTATTTGAACTGTTCCCTTTCCAATCATACCAGTTTCCTCTTTTCTTTCCTTTTGTAATAAAATTCCCACACACTTCACTGTCTTGGATGATCTCTTCTGAGTAAATTCCTTCTTATATGTGATGCCTAAAACTGTACACACTATTACGGATGTCTAACCACAACAAAGGATGGGGGTAGTTTCCCCCCTGTTATATAAACACTATACAGTGCCACACATTGCAGTAATCTAAACAAAGGGGAAGCACTCCAAATGCTTTTCACAGTATTGTATGGCAATATGCTGTCACGATTGTGGAGATTTTGATGACAAATCCTGAAGAAGAAGCACAGGGAAAGGAAGACTCTGGGAAGTCTAAAGAACACAGGGGAAGGCAGGCACCTTTTTACGATGCTGCTACTATAGCAACCAGCGGTGGGACCCTAACCTCAGGTACTCATGTTAGAACCTGGGTAATCTAATGAAGCTGTCGTAGACAAGTTAGGCCCTCACAATCCTCAACTTGTAAGATTCTTCTAACCAAAATTAGGACTTTAGTTTCACCTTTGCTTCCTCTTGGAGTCAGTTCAATATTCAAATAATCAACAGGGTTTTGAATTCTGATGTCTCTTACATATCAACTATCAGGTTTAAGTTGCTTCCAAATTTAACAAGCATGTTTTCTATACCTATATTTAATTATTTAATCCATTTTGGAGCCTAGAGGTCATCATAGTCATCTCAACCTGTTCTCTTTGGTTCTCTCTCTATATCTGACCCAAAAAAGGAAATTAGAGTCATCAAAGAATGTAGAAAGCTGAGGGGCTGAGTGGAGAAAACAGCCATGTAACATGCAAAAATTAGTAATAGTGTGGCCAGAGAAAAAACAAAAGTATGGCTGGAAGGGTGAGCAGTTCAAGAATGTTATAATATCATGCAAAACTTCCAAGGTAGCACTGAGCTTTCCAAAGTACAGTCAATGACCATAGATGGCAGTGGGGCTGCTGAATGAAGAACAAAAGGATAAAGATTTAGTAGTGTTATAGTTGGCTTGGGGCCATCCAGTCTATTAGCACCACGCTCTAACCAACTGAGCTAACTGGCCAGAATAGGGCCATCCAGTCTAGACATTCGTGTGAACCCAGATCTAAAACAAATTTCCGTGATTAGCCCCTGCTAAGGAGAAGGCACAAAATGCTCTTGCTCCATCAGTAAAATATAGTAGGTCAGTATAACCGTCAAAGACAAGAGTTTGCACTCAAAATCATTGAGCACCATTGGGAAGATCCCTCTCACTGTTGCCATAAGATTTTAGGGTTCCAGGACATCCAGTTTTGTGCCCTTTGGCTCTTTGTATAACCAGTCAAAATGAGTAGGGATGGATTCATATCCTTCATGGTTACTGCATCTAACCTCAATAATCATGTCAAAGCTGAAGTAAGCGAAGGACTCTTTTAACAGCCAACCTTCTCCTTGAAGGCTCAGGCTTCTAACTTAGAAAAAATTCTCTCTCTCTCTCTTTCCCCCTTCCCTCCCTCCCTATTTCTATTTCCAGTTGTCTAGCATTCAAAATGTAAGGGAAATGAGAATTCCTAGGCCCCATGGGGCAATAACTCCTTTTTGGTGTCCTGTTTTGAGAATCTCTCCCAGTGCTACATACCTCAGTGACATCTCCAGCACTGGAAAGTTTTCTTATACATGCTGGAGACAGTGGGATGAGGTAAGGGCAACTGCTTTAAGAAACTAGATCAGCATAAAGTCATGGGTCAGTTCTGCCTCAAGACTTTGGCATACACTTTTCCTTTTTCTTAGAATTCCCCTTGACCCCACTTTTCATATGACTGACATACTTACCCTTTAGGTGTCAGAGAATCTGTTTTTGGACCATCCAATCCAATGCAGATCTCCATTGTTATTTTCTCTCATAGCCTGTTGCCCTTTTCTTTCACAGCATTTTGCACATTTAAAAAAGTTTATACATATTTGTTTCCTTTTAACTACATCTTTCCCACTAGATTGTAAGCTCCACAGGGGCAAACACCATCTGTATTTATATCTTTATGATTTACCTAGTGTCTAGTTCAATGCCTGATACTGAGTAAGTATTTTTTAAGTGAATTTTGAGACCTTAAGATTGCCAAGCACTTATTATCAAAAGGGCAAGATAAAACAAGTGTTGGCGAGGGTATGGAGAAAAGGGAACCCTTTGTATTGTTGGTGGGAATGTAATTTGACGCAGCCACTATGGAAAACACCATGGAGATTCTTCAAAAATTTACGAATAGAACTACCATTTGATCTAGTGATTCTACTTCTGGGTATTTATCCACAGAACAAGAAAACCCTAATTCAAAAAGATACCCCTACGTTCATTACAGCATTATTCATATAGACAAGATATGGAAACAATCTAAGTGTCCATCAACAGATGAGTAGATAAAGATGTGGTGTATATAGACAATGGTAATATATACAATGGAATACTGCGCAGCCATAAAAAAGATGAAATCTTGCCATTTGCAACAACATGGATGGCCCTTGAGAGCATTATGCTAAGTGAAATAAGTCAGACAAAGACAAATACTATGTAATTTCACTCATATGTGGAATTTAAACAAACAAAATAAAATTGATGAACAAACCGAAAAAAAAACCCAAACACATAGATACGGAGAATAGAGTAGTGGTTACCAGAGGGTGAAGGGGATGGGAGTGTGAAATGGGTAAAGGAGGTCAACTGTATGGTGACAGATGAAAACTAAACTTGTTGGTGAGCATGCTATGCTGTATACAGAAGCAGAAATATAATGTTGTACACATGAAACTTATACAATGTTATAAACCAATGTTACTTCAATTTAAAAAAAGAAAAGACATTGCCAAGCACTTTGTAACCTGCAAAGTGTTTTTTACACATATTATTAGTTAATCCTTATAATTACTTGCTAGGATATTTCAGGCAGGGTAGCTATTAATGTTTCTTTCTATTTTAAAGAAGGTAAGACTTGGAGAGTTTAACCAACTTGGCCAAATTCACACAGCTGGGGGGCTTGGGTGGGAAGTTAGGTCTTTTGATCATTTGGACCAGTGCTCTTTCTACCAAAATGAGATAGTACTGGGAAATCTGTGTAGCCACAGAGTAGCCCAAGTATTGTACCTAATAAAGAATTGCACAGTCCTGATGCTTAGAACTTCTCATCTGTCATTTTCATTCATACTATCAATGATTGTTGGCTAAATTTCCCATAGTGTAATAGCAGAAGAATAAATCCTTGTTGATTTATAAACACAAAAGGTAAGCTTAAGCCACTGACTGAACTGAATGGAGGTAGAACTTATTTTAATTTAGAAACCCGGTCTTACCTCTGCAGAGCCGGAATGAATATATTGCTCACCTCAAGGACCAGTTGCGAGAGATGAAGGCAAAAACCAACATGGAGAATCGCTATATGAAGAGAAATACTGAACTGCAGATTTCCCAGACCCAGAAAAAATGTAGCAAAACCGAGGAGCACTTGCTGGAAGAGATTGAGGTAATCCCTGTTAATTAGGAAGGACCAGGTAAGACCGTGTTCGAGCTGGCGCACCTGATACTACCTCAGCCGACAGAGGACGAGGGAGAGGGGGGCTTTCCTGAGCTTTGCTCTCTCTCCCCAGCAACCCTAACATTTGAGGTTAAAAACAAAAACAGAATGAGTACTTGGTTTTTTGTGAGCAGAGATTCTGATGGGCTGTGGCCTACATCTCTTGGTTTTTGGTAATGACTTTGAAAATTGGTTGTACTTTCTTCTCTTGGTCACTTAATCCTTATTTTATAAAACCACTTGCCACTTCTGGTGATTACAGGGAGAGGGCGAAACAAGAGACTCAGTAACTGCAGGTTTTTGCTGCTGCTTTCTTCACCCAACCAGTACTTTTTAACCCTCCGTTAAGAAATACAAAATCCGAAGAGCTGCCCTTCATTCAACAGAATTTAAGGAGTCATAGTAAAAGTATCAGGAGAAAGAAACAAGGGTAGGCCCTCATTAGAGGAGGGAAGCTAACTGGCTAAAAGAACAACAGGTCGGCGAGAAGGAGCAAACATCAGTAGGGTGTGTCATCTATGGGCAGGAGGACACTTTTCTCTGAGCCCCCTGCGTATTTGAAAGTTTACTCCCCAAGTGCAGGTTAAGGCTATGACAACAAACCTTTTCCTTACACTCTGGAATTTCCTTTTGTAGGCCTGCGAAACTTAAGCCCTTGAAGCATTGTTTCTCTCCTTAAATTGACACGACTTTCCAGGCAACAGGATTATGGTCGTTTTGTTCTGGGCACTTGCATATGTCTAGCGCAGTGCCAGACCCGGCTCAGCCATGTTTTGAGCAGGAATTGAGTTGAATGGGAATGAAATTTTCACTCTGGAGCAATAATGTAGAATTCTTGGGGTCCCAGCTGGTAAAGAAAACCTGTGCTACTGTCACAGCGACACCTCTGATCTTGAGAACTCATTTCCAGCCCTGCTGGGAAGAATTTCTGATATTGGTTTATTGTTCCCACAGAAACTGAGGTCGAAAACCGAAGAAGAGAACCGGATTCATGTGGAGATCGAAATGTTCCTTAGAAAGGAGCAGCAGGTGGGTCACTGAAACTGACGTGTTTGTGTCCCCCTTGTTAAATACCAAAGGACAGCAAAAAAAAAAAAAATCTTTTTTTTCAAGGAAGAAAAATCAACCGTAATTCTACTAGCCTAATAAATGAGCTGTATAAGCCCATGTTTTCTTTCAGAGTTATCTATCTGGATAAATATTTTAAAAAGCTGTAATTTGAGTACAGGTAAAATTTTGTCCTCTACGTTTATCATTTAGCATTATATAAGAAACTGTTTTCTTGTTCCTATATTGCTTCATAGTCATAATTTTTAAGTAAATTTTATTGATTTATTAAACTGTAAAAGGCACATATTCTTACATGAGGGAAAATTTTCTTAAAGTTGCCAATTACTTTTTCACTCATTTTTTCATTTTATTATGGTCTCTTTGTAAAATAATTTTAAATGGTTTATAATGTTCTATGGAATGGTTTTGCCATGGTTTGTTACTCTTTGTTTTGGATATTTGGATTTGGTTATTTCCTAAGTTTCGTTATTATAAATAATGCAGTAGTGAAAGCTTTGTCCAAATAACTGTTTCCTCCATTGCAATTATTTACGAAAGTAAATCTCAAGCATGAGATTATTAATTCAGAGAGACTGGTACCTTGTGACTCTGGGTAAATATTGCCAATACCTTCTCCTTTACGCTGACATCAGCAACGTATGCAGGCACTAATTTCAGGGTATCCTCAACAGAACCAGCTGTTTTAGATGTTTTTTTTAAAGTCTGCTAATTTAATGAGTTGTTTTATTTGCATTTTTTTGCCTACTATTAGAATTGACAATTTCCCTATGTATTTATTTACTCATATTTTTAATTTTTAAATTAAAAAAAATTTTTTTGAAGTATAGTCAGTTTACAATGTTGTGTCAATTTCTGGTGTACAGCACAATGCTCCAGTCATACATGAATATACA